CAATATTCCTTAGATGAAAGAAGGAAATTCTAGAAACCTCTTTGATATGGGATTTAAATGACAGGTCCTGATCAAAAATGACGTCAAGATGTTTCACTTTATTATCTGAAATCAGTTTAATCCCATCCAAATGAAGTGACTGACTAATCAGCCTCTTCTTCAAAGGTCCAAACACTATACCTTCTGTTTTGTCCTCATTCAGGAGCAGAAAGTTAAGAGTCATTCAGGCTTTTATCTCTTGAAGACATAAAAACACGACATGTTCTGAAGATAACACGTTCTGAAGTGCTGCTATACAAATAAACTAAACTGAATTGAACTGAAACTTCCTGGTGACACTGGTGTTAGTGAGGTAGCTTTGCATTTGCAGAAATCTACCACCAGCTTCTTGGTATCTGCTGATTTGACCAGAAAAGGTTCTGCTGGAACCTGTCTGCAGTCCTGGGTCCACTGTCCGTACTATGAATCATCCTCACCTGTGAAAAGGCCAACTTAGACAGAGATTTCTGAGACTGTAATCATCATAAAAAATAATTAAACCATATTAATAAATCAAAAATAAATACTGTGTGAAATTCTTCTGTGATGTTATTATTTACTTCATCAGAATGATAAATGTGTGTAATCGCAATGTTCCGATCACATTTCTCCCCTTCAGATAGACAACATGTTCATATGTTGTAAGATTAGACAAAACTGGGCAAGTTAAAAAAAATACACAAATAGTCAGATATGTTTCAGGTTTGTTTATTACATTCTTGAAACCTTTATAGCACAGACCTGGTTTCATGTGCATTAGGAAATTTGTACTTCAATCAAACCACGTTTATTTGATACCATTACCTAATTTGAAATAAAATGCATCTTTCAGTTTTATTGATTAAAAGCAAAAACAAAAAGATTAGCAAAAATACATCTTATATACAGTAACTGTTGCAACAGTTAAAAAAAACCCTGTATATTACAATCAACAGTATGTAGACATTGCTTCTTTCAGTAATGTACATGTAATGGTGTTTATGAGATTGATATCACTCAAAAACATAGTTATTGGTATGAGGAACAGAGACAGCCAGGAAATAGAAAACATAGCAAACCCAATTCGTAGCTTCCATACAATACAGAATATGATTAAATTAAACAATATTGGGAAAAGATAATGGTTTGGAACCCATATTATGTTGGTGATGCTTGACATACTCTACTGTAATATTTAGACAGAGAATTTCCCAGTTTAAACTTGGATAGTTTTATATTTTGTCTGTAGCAAAGCATAGAGCTGCTCTGTTGTTAGACATTGCTCTGATAATAGTTATCAAGTTGCAAGTAGCAACAAACAGACACAAAGGATGGATACCAAGTGTCAAAACAAAGTCCATAAAAACATGTCAGCATGAATATCAGGTAGAATATAAAGATTCTATCCTTCACGTCGCTGTATGAATATTCTTTTTTAGTTTTGTTTGTTTTTAACGGTCAAATTTGGGAGACTATGTTTTACAGTGATTTATTAATCATTTTTACAGAAATCTAACAGCTTTGGTTATTCTATTAAAATATTGTTAGCTTATGGCTTTTGCATACCCCGCCTACCTATACATTTTTTCTTGTTGGTGTTGTGATTTTATGTTCAATGCCCATCCAGGTAGGATGCCACATTAATGTTGGGATTTTATATTCTATTCTATTTCCAGCCAGCTGGGAATTTATATTTGTGATACTTTAAAATGCTTACTGCCCTCCCCTGTATGGGTGGTAAAATATTTTATTTAATCAGATATTATTTCGGCTGTTATATATAGTTTACGAACACACACCCTACTAACTGTGTGTTAGAACAACAGATGAAAGAGTGATTCGGGCACTAATCATGGTTAAACAGTTAATTCTGCACATACATGGAATAAATTCACCACAACTTCTGTTCAAAATATAAAAGTTTATTAACAAAAATCATTCAGCTCCAAGTCGAACATATTTCAGTTTAAAACTCTTAACTAAGACTAGGGAAACTTAACTAAACTAAACTACTATGTACAAAGAGCAAGGGGAACATGCTTAAAAACCATATCACAGTTTAAGGTGGATTTTGAGTTTACAAGCACAGTTTATCAGGAAGACTGGAATATGATCAAATTAGCTTTCAGTAATTGAAAGAAATTGGAATGTTTTCAGACCAATTCACAATGTAAATCCATAAGGTTAAAAACATTATTTGGCCAAACAATGTTTTATTGAATAATTTGCTTAATCAAGAACCAATAACCTTTAGTCAATGATCCTTTACCCTCTTTGAAATAGCTAGCAGCGAATAGACATCAGGATTCCACTAAATGACTCTTGGACAAACACTTTGCAGCATACATATGCATATCTAACCATGTCCAGACACAGTGCAGTAGTCAGACATCCAGCGGGAATAATTACTCTGCCGAGACATATCAACAACAAGCACCAAGATCCTCCAGGACGGGGTTGAGAGAACAAAATAACATAATCGCTACTCAAGAGAGAGAAATGTCCCAGGTGGTTCTCATGCAGTACTTTACAGCCTTTAGTTTACTATTCAGTTGGTATAAATTAAAAAAAACAGAATAAGAAATAAAACAATTGCATTTACAATGTTAATTCAACTCATTTTTGGGTCCCCTGAGAACTGTAACAAATATATTTTTGGCCCACTTGCATCAATTTTAGACAATATGACTATTGACACATTATAATGAGCATTAGCCGCTTTGACATTTTTTAAGCTGGAGTTCTCAGATATGTTATTAAAGGGGTCATAGAATGATTATATATTTTATTTGGTGCTGGTCCTTAAGGTCTATGAATAGGGTGTGAAAATGGCATATTTGCTGTTCTATGAGCCCTAATGCAAGCCTGATTATAAGCCACAGAATGAAATGACAGCTTGTCTTCCTTTGATGGTATGCTCATGGTTGGTTTATAAGGAGTGAAGCTGCTAAGCGAAGACGCATCATAGCAACAAGCACTCACTGAACCATCTAATTGTTTATATGGTAAGGTGACCAGATGTCCTCTTTTTCCCGGACATATCCTACTTTTCATACCTAAAAAAATGTCCGGGCGGAAATTTCAAAACCCCCCGGGATTTTGGTCGACTACAGTGCAACCAAAACCCCGCCCCACATCCCACATATGTGTGAATGTGTGTAAATGTGAATTCCAACATATTTTTTTTCATTTTGGTCACAAAAAGGTTTGTGCTGAACTAAAGTACAACAAAAGAAATATACTATGTATGATGGTGCTTTGAAATTACCACAGATAATAAACAAAAACAGTCAGAAAACACAACAGGCATGTGCAGACAACCTGTAAGAGGTTAAAATAGGTTGACCTAATAATAAAGAGGCACATGCAGGTTAAAGGGACAGATTTAAGAACATATGGAAACATACATTTGTCTCGATCCAAAGCGGCAGAGCTTTACAGAAACACCTACCGGTACCCTGGTGGTGGAAGGGGCCTTTCTTTCCAGATTCCAGATCACGGCAACACATGATCCTAACATCAATATCTTCATCTTGATGTTGAGCCACTGTCTGCATATCAATGACGTTGTTGCAACTTCATCCTCTTACCCGAAATTTGAACATTAAATGTAACATGAAGGGCTTTTAGCTTAAAGGTAAACTTCACTTTAATCATTATGGCTGATTGTGTTGAAAGGTATAAAAGCAGTTAAGACTTTAGTCATGGATGATAAGCAGTCATGTTCAAGCTTAAAGCTGGTAACATCATCCAAAACTTCATATATTGGTGTGTTTCTTTGTCTCACTCTCTTCTGAGATCAATGACGTGTCTCCAGTTGGGTGAGAAGCAATTTGTTTTAGGAGGTTTTCAGATTGAAGCAGTTCCTCGGTCCAAGCCTGACAGACTTCTTCAATTTCCAAGCCTCTTCCTCCATACTCTGGAGGTAAGACGTCTGGTGAGAAGAAGTCACTTAAAGTGTGGTGGAAGTCTGTGCCATGCATATGGACCTGTGAGAGAGAAGAACTTGAGTTTTTATGTCAGGGTGCCGCCAAAGTAGATAATGGGTAGTGTCTCACCCTCTGCTTGATCTTATCTGCCAGAAAGGGACGAATCATAGCAAAGACTGGACGGAAGAACATTGGTTCATTGACCAGATGAATTCCTCTCACCTTTAGAGGAAATGAGTCCTTAACAAAGGGATACACAATCACATAAATTATTTACTTTATTATTATTAACTATTGTTTCATTTGTTTTTATCAGAAACCACAAAACAGGTTTAAAATAGAAGGCAACAAGACTTTTGTTCTTTGCCAGTTCCGTCAGCTCACACCAAGTTTTGGCTCTGCTGCAAGCTGACAGAATTGATAAAGACTCCTGGATAGATGCTAAAATTTATTCAGAAAAGGCGATTGCACGAAGGTCTGGTAGCTTTCCAGTTTCAGCCCGTTTTGTGGTTGCCATGACCCGGATAACTGAAGATTTACACAGGCAAGCAGAAAGGTCAGTGTTGGTCATTTCAATTGCATGTCATGTTCATACCGAAAGCACAGAGGATATCTTTCTGGCGAGGGAGGGGTTTATCTGCAAGGCATGGCCTAGACTCCACCCTTTCAGGTCAAATATAACCTTCACACCTCGCCTCTGTGTTTCTGTCTCCCTGGAAATGAGTTCCGATGTCATCAGACTGACTCTGAACACCTGGAAGGCTGACCAGTCTTTTGGGTTCCATTGCCCTGCAAAAAAAAAAACATATTTTGAATATGAATTAAAACCAAAGGATGAGAGGCAGGGTACAGGTTGACATAAATGGTCAGCATTTCGTGACATGGCAACTCAAAGGAACTAAACCACACACAAACGCACTCCTATTGAACAAATACCAGCACTATTTCTAAGAATACAGGTTCTTCTCAAAATATTAGCATATTGTGATGAAGTTCATTATTTTTCATAATGTAATGATAAAACTCTAACATTCATATATTTTAGATTCATTGCACAATAACTGAAATATTTCAGGTCTTTAATTGTCTTAATACGGATGATTTTGGCATACAGCTCATGAAAACCCAAAATTCCTATCTTTCAAAATTAGCATATTTCATCCAACCAATAACAGAAAAGTGTTCTTAATACAAAAAAGTCAACCTTCAAATGATTATGTACAATTATACACTCAATACTTGGTTGGGAATCCTTTTGCAGAAATGACTGCTTCAATGCGGCGTAGCATGGAGGCAATCAGCCCGTGGCACTGCTAAGGTGTTATGGAGGCCCAGGATGCTTCGATAGCGGCCTTTAGCTCATCCAGAGTGTTGGGTCTTGCGTTTCTCAACTTTCTCTTCACAATATCCCACAGATTCTCTATGGAGTTCAGGTCAGGAGAGTTGGCAGACCAATTGAGCACAGTGATACCATGGTCAGTAAACCATTTACCAGTGGGTTTGGCACTGTGAGCAGGTGCCAGGTCATGCTGAAAAATGAAATCTTCATCTCCATGAAGCTTTTCAGCAGATGGAAGCATAAAGTGCTCCAAAATCTCCTGATAGTTAGCTGCATTGACCCTGCCCTTGATAAAACACAATGGACCAACACCAGCAGCTGATATGGTGCCCCAGACCATCACTGACTGGGAACTTGACACTGGACCTCTGGCATTTTGGCATTTCCTTCTCCCCAGTCTTCCTCCAGACTCTGGCACCTTGATTTCCAAATGACATGCAAAACTGAGCAACAGTGCAGTGCTGCTTCTCTGTAGCCCAGGTCAGACGCCTCAGCCGCTGTTTCTGGTTCAAAAGTGGCTTGACCTGGGGAATGTGGCACCTGTAGCCCATTGGAATTGGCCCTTCTCCACAATCTTCGTCAGGGTCTGGAAAATAATTAACTTTATCATAATATACTAATATTTCGAGAAGAACCTGAATACCTACTGAGAAAACAAAGCAACACTGAATGGCTCTGGCTGAGATGTGGGTTGGCACTTGCTTCATTAGGTAGCTTGAAGCTAACAAACATTGCCAGACTGTTCCCATATCAGCAGGTAGAGGGGACTCTGGAAGTTGGTAACAAATACTACATCCTCTTAATGATTTCCTCTTTGGAGACAGGGTATGGTTTAACTTTCCATCTGAGATTCTTTAGTATCGCACCGCTCCCACAAATGTTTATTTAGGAGCAGAGGACCTGCCTGGTAGAGGACAAATCTCAACCTGGCACAGGCAGCCTAGGAGACATTAACTCGATCCAACTACCTAAAATCGCTAAGGAGCAATGGCCTAAGTGTGTGGGTTGTTGCCATAATTAGTGCTATCCAGTTAGCAATAAGAAAGTAGCTAGAACCAGGAAGCAGGATGGTACCTTGCACCAATTCATTTAGCATAGATGTTGACCCTGATGTTCCCAACTAGTGCTGGGAGCTATACCACTACCCACAATCCTTTGTGTGACATTTTTGCATACCTACGTCAAGAAGTTGGACTCAAATACAACATTTTGTGGTGCGGACTCTGTACAACACATGCTAACA